GAGTGCACTTCTTACCACCAGGCCACCAGAGTGCTCTTCTTACCACCAGAGTGCACTTCTTACCACCAGAGTGCTCTCCTTACCACCAGGTCACCAGAGTGCACTTCTTACCACCAGGCCACCAGAGTGCTCTTTTTACCACTAGGCTACCAGAGGCAAAAAAAAAGCCCCAAGAATATAGAAGGGATACTGATTGACATTTTTCAACTAACAGATGCAACCCTGGCCGTGCTCACAAGTCTATGCCACAAAATTTGGAGGAAAGCTGACTGGCAACTGACTGGAAGAGATCCATATTTGTACCCATTCCCAAGAAAGGCTATCTAACAGAATGTGGAAATTATCAAACTGTATCATTAGTATCACATGCAAGCAAAATAATGCTGAAGATAATAACAAAATGACTGGCGCAGTACATCGACAGGGAACTTCCAGAAGTTCAAGCTGGATTTAGAAGAGGCGGTGGCACCAGGGACATCACTGCTGATATCAGGTTGGATCCTGGCTGGAAGCAGAGAATACCAGAAGAATGACCATCTGTGTTTTATTGACTATGCAAAGGCATTTAACCGTGTGAATCACATCAAACTATGGCTAACATTGAGAAGAATGGGAATCCCAGAATACTTACTTTGTTTATGTGAAACCTATACCTAGACCAAGAAGTTCTTGCCCAAATAGAACAAAGGGAATGCTACATGGTTTAAAACCAGGAAGAATGTGCATAGGAGTGTATACTTTCTCCATATCTATTCAATCTGTATGTTGTGCAAGTAGTTCATGAAACTGGACTCTATGAAGAAGAATGTGGCATCAGGATGGGAGGAAGATTCATCAACAACATGCACTATTCAGATGACACAACCTTGCCTGCTGAAAGCGAGGGGGACTTGAGAGCGCTTGTTGCAGAAGATCAAAGACTAGAGCCTTCAATATGGATTGCAACATCAAGAAGACAAAGGTCCTCACCACTGGAACAGTGGGCAACATCATGATAAATGGAGAAAGGATTGAAACAGTTAATGATTTCATCTTGTTTGGATCCACAAGACTAGTACCAGCAGTCAGGAGATAAGGAGATTTTTGTATTGCTTTGGACAAGGCTACTGTCAGGGACCTCTACAAAACACTGAAGAGCAGTGATGTCAGTTTGAAGACTAAGGTGCACCTGATACAGGCCATGGTCTTTTCAGTTATTTGCTGTGCATCTGAGAGCTGGACAATAAATAAGGATGGCAGAAGAAGATTTGATGCCTTTGAGTTACGGTGCTGGAGAATACTTATGAATATCTCAAGAATGAAAAAAAACCCCACACCACCAAACAATCAATAACAACAAACCAAAAGCAGGTATGTCTTGGGAAGGGTGCAGGTGGAGTCCACCTTGGAAGCAAGACTGAAAAAGCTGGATCTCTCATACTTTGGACTTGTTACTAGGAGAGGCTATTCCTTA